ATTAGAATAGAGAATTAGAATTAGAATAGAGAATTAGAATTAGAATAGAGAATTAGAATTAGAATAAAAAAAGAATTAGTAGAGAATTAGAAAAGAGAATTAGAATAGAGAATTAGAATAGAGAATTAGAAAAGAGAATTAGAATAGAGAATTAGAATAGAGAATTAGAATAGAGAATTAGAATAGAGAATTAGAATTAGAATAGAGAATTAGAATAGAGAATTAGAATTAGAATAGAATACAATAGAACAGAGAATTAGAATTAGAATGGAATAGAATAGAATAGAATTCTTTATTGGCCAAGTGAATTGAACACAAAAGGAATTTGTGTTTGGTGCATATGATCTCAGTGTACATAAAAAGAAAAGATACATTTGTCACAAATCATAAGTTACAACACTTAATGATAGCCATAGGGTAGAAATAAGCAATCAAATCATACTAGGAAACCATCAATATAAATCATAAGGATACAAGCAACGAAGTTATAGACCTGCAGTCATAAATGGGAGGAGATGGGTGATAGGAACGATGAGAAAATTTAATAGTAATGCAGACAGTGAATAGTTTGACAGTGTGGAGGGAATCATTTGTTTAGCAGAGTGATGGCGTTTGGAAAAAAACTGTTCTTGTGTCTAGTTGTTCTTGAGTTTGTATCGGTTATTTGCCTGTGTATTAATGAGGTTGAAGCTGAAGAAGTCGTTGAGAGGCAAAACGTTGTAGCAGACAATTTTGTGTACTGTGCTTCGATTGAACTGCAGGCGGCACAGATTATCCAAGCCCAAATTTGTGAGCCTGGTGGCATAAGGGGTTCTGTTGTGAGCAGAAGAGTGGAGGAATCTTCTCATGAAATATACCTCTGGACCCGCTCAATCGTGTTAATGTCCGATATACAGTGTGGATTCCAGGGGCACGATTACAAATCAAAAGTAATCAAATTGCATAGCAAAGTAAATCATGAACCGTGGCTAGCTAACAACCGTAGTTGGGATCATGCAATAAATTCACCCAGAACTAAACCATTTTAGTGCTTGGAATCATATGGAAATCTGCTTTATGTGCACTGTGGTTCAGCTCATTCAGTTCAGACTCAAACTTATAATTTTAGTACAATGTGTGAATTGTGCTTTTACAATGTGCTTTTACGTTCGGCAGCAGCTACGTTAAATGTGCCTCTTTATTTTATCTATATTAGATCTGAAAATAAGCAGTTGGTGGTGTATGCAGTAATAATGAGAGATGGAAAATCCTGGGGAGCCTTATGGATACATCTATTTTCTTTATTTCCACTCTCCTTTATCCAAACACATGGATGAAACTGAATGTCTGTGTGTGTATGCACACATGGGAAAATCATATACAATATTTTCATCCCATATTTTTCAGAGATTCCTTCCTTCCTTCCCCCCCTCCCCTCTTTTCTTTCTCTTCCTTGCTTTTCTTTCTTTTTTCCTCTCCTTCCTACATTCTTTCTTTCCGCCTTCCCTTTCTTCCCTCCCTCCCTTTTCTTTATCTCTCTTCCTTGCTTATCCTTGTTTTCTCCCCTCCTTCTTTCATTCTTTCCTCCTTCCCTTTCTTCCCTCCCTCCCTACTTTCCTTTCCTTTTTCTCTCTTCCTTGCTTTTCCTTCCTTTCTCCCCTCCTTCCTTCCTTCATTCTTTCCTTCCTCCTTCCCTTTCTTCCCTCCTTCCCTCCCGTCTTCCCTTTTTCTCTTTCCTTCCTTCCTTCCTTCCTTCCTTCCTTCCTTCCTTCCTTCCTTCCTTCCTTCCTTCCTTCCT